CAACTATCTTTTTTTTCTTTCTTTCTCTTTTTTTCTTTCCCCTGCGCTTTGCAGGATTTATGGCCTCTGTCATAGCATATGCAGCTTGCTTTGCTTTCCAATAGCATTCCCTTTCCCCTGATCCCAATTAGCAAATTCAGCCAAAACGGCCTTGTGGGCCTTGTTATAAAGATTTCACATTTTGTTGGCTTGGAGGATGAAAGAGCCAGAAGAGAACCCCAGTTTTTCTCCCAGATGAAATACTGTGGTTGATACAACTCCCCTGTGTTTCTGCTAAAACAGCAGCTCTACCTGGAACAGCCACTTCTAAATATGTGCCCTTCGTTTTGCCTGTTCCCTGTAAAGGTTGATTTATTTGCTGCAAATCCAGAATACTCCATTTGAAGCAGCAAACTGAGAAGTCGTCTTCTGCCCCAATCTACCTGCCAGACTGTCATGGCAGTCAGTGGAGATATGGTGCATCTCCAAAGGATGGGTCCAATGTAGGTAGGTTGTGTCCCATTCCACAGCAATTTCTATCCCTGCATCCCCCCACAGAAACTACCTGAGGTTTCTGCACTTGTTATTTAGGTTTCTTAAACTTTGTGGGGTGGTTTTGGTTCTTCAGCTCTGACTGCATTGGCACCAATGCTTTGTGGAGTGGCACATTCAGGGAGGCCAAGGTGCTCAGCTTGGAGAATGTTCCCTTACCTTAGCAAGCAGCAAACTTTTGAACACCTCTCCCTCTTATTTGGTGTTCGTTGTTGGTTTTTGGTTGTAGTGATTTCCGTCTGGATGGCAGCCAGATGTGCTGATGACAACGCGACCCATGGGCATTGTCTTCTCCTCTGGCTTCTCAAGCTGGAGGAACCAGTCCTGGAGGACTAGGCATAAATCCAGGGTGGGATGTGCTAGAACATCTTGCTTGGGCTGGAAGGAGATGGAAAATGTCTCTATTATATCTTGCTGGAGACTCTGCTAGTGAGAAATGTCTTTGGGAAGCAGAAAGGGGAGGGGAGGCAAGTGCTGTGAAAAGTGTGAATTTGTAACAACACCATAACAGGGTTTTTCTCTCCCTGACTCCCCTGCCAGCCATTAGCTGAAGTCTGGCTTTCCTCTGAAATCTGGTTTTAAAGCCAGAGTGACTTTGCTGGTTTTGGCAGGGAAATCTCAGCGCACGATTTCTGCCCAGGGCCTGCCACACCGTGGTGCAGGGAATAGCTCTTGAGCAGAACAGTGAGGAAGGGTTGAGACTTCTTCAAAATTGGGAGGAGATGTAGAGTGAGTGACTGTAATCTTAGCCCATCCCAGACTGCACCATCCACTGCAGGATCTCCTGGATCTCCTCTACTGGCGTGAGGGCTTGTCCAGGAACCTTTTTCAAGAGCTAAAGATGTTTAAGCAAGACATAAACATCAGAGCTGTGACACCACTCAAAATGTGGGTCATGGTGATTTTTGGAGAGCTGCATCTCCTCTGAAACTCCTGCTGAAATCAGCGGACATAGCACAAGTATCCCTGGGATCCCTTCAGGATCTTGACAACTTCAGAAATTGTAGAAATGAAGAGGTCATTTAGGAGAATGGTCTGAACCATCCCCAAGCTGACTCTTCCCAGTGGCTTTGCCTGTGTTGTCAATCACTACCCCAGGCAAGGTGTCCAGCAGCTTCTGGCCCATGGCAAGTATTTCCTCAGGGTGCGTGTTCTGGGTCTACAGGAGAATAACTCATCTTCCCTTTACCAGGGGGGACTTTGGCTTTCTTCCTCGATCAACAGAGCAGCTCACAGGCAGGAATCCAAAGGCAATTTGATGCGGTTTCAAGTACATGCTGAACACAGATGAGCCATAAATGCCTGTGGCGTGTTCCTTCCCCCATTTCAGAGCATGCTATTGATTGCTCTGTGCAACGATACAGCATGCCGCTACCTGACCAAGCTCACTGTCTTATCTGGAAACCCTTTCTCAGGCTAGAAGATGACAAGTACCTTTATTTCTCAACTCTTTTATCAAAGCAATTGGCCAAGTGGATTATTAGTCAATGAATGCTTCATGCTACTACGTAAGGGAGTTTTTATATGATAGCAATGGATTGAATCTCATCTGCAAGGCAATTATGGAATCGGATAAGGATAATTTGGGGCAGGACCACAAGGAAGGGAGAGTCAGTAACTGCTGTGTTTTGGGCTTGCTGCTGGATGGAAGACAAATGTGAGGCATGGATATTGCAGCCAGGGTAACTGCCCGCTTCTCGTGACTGTTTATAAGGCTGGTCAGGAAGAAAATTCCCATATGGAAAGCAATTGGATTGGCCCCATGCCGAAGCTTGGCTTTGATTCTCCACKCAGTTAAGACAGGCTTTGAAAGATATCTCTCTCAATAGTGCTGTGTTTTGCTTTTCCTTGGAGATAGAGGAGGAACAGTGTCCTTTTTGGTCCMACAGGAGCATGTGATGCTTTGCCCAGACCCAAGTGTCATGCTGATATGGCTTTGGACCTACTGGAATATGATCCAGTTCCTACTGGAGCTGTTGCGGCACCAGGAGGAACTAGGCTGGACCTTTTGAAAGGCAAGTTAGGAGGCACTTTCCCTGTTGAATTGTCATTTGGGAAAAGCCATTGGATGGCAATATGGGAGGAAGGATAAAAACACTGAGCTGATGAAGGTACAGCTGCTTTCCCATATATGAGACATTTAGTAAGGAGTGGAGAGGTTGTTTCCAAAAAGGTGGAGGAAGGCTTTAATTTCCCCAGTAACATAAAATTTTAGTATGTTCCAAACACAGCTTCATGGAGAAAAAAAAAATGAGTATTGCAAAACGGTGCACACTATGGCTGAAGCAGAGAAGGGATAAGCTCTTCTTTAGCCTTGATATCACTTGCTGTCACTGTGAAAGGGATATCTGGAAATATCTGCAGAAAGTAGTCCTACCCCCTGCATCACCTCTGCGCTCTTACATGTTTTCTGAAGAAACAATGGAGTAGGCTGGAACTAAGGCTCATCTTAATGGTTTTCTGTTGTTTCTGTAGAGTAATAGACCCCAGAGAATTGCGTGTCGGCCTTTAGTGATGCTTTGGTTGCAGGTTGTTTGGCTAGAGTCCCAATCTCTGCTTTCTTTCTGTAGGAGTTRCTGCCAGACAAGTCACATCAGTGATCACGACAATATTTTTGCAATGCGTTTTTCCCTTGGCACTTCTTTTACACAGTGGCAAATAGTCCCCAGTCAGTCTCCTGGGAATGTGCACAGGGTTAGGAAGACCACACTGAAAAGGAAGAGAAACTATAGCCAAGGGTAAGGCAAGGCGAAATGAAAAGAAGTGTAAACTTCTAGGAAATGGTTCTGGGAAGGTACTATTATCATGGGGAAGGTGCCTCAGCCAGATCAAATGTCATGTGGGAACCATGATCCTACAGGGATATTAATAAAATGCTTTTAAAAAGCAGTGGGAAAGGTGAGAATGGAGACCAGTGGAGGCTAAGGTGAGGATGGGAACATGAGTTTAAAAGGGTTATTTATTTATTTACTTGCTAAAATAATGCCAAGCACGTGAATGCTCTGTACATAGCCAGCAGTGTGGCCAGAGAGCGGTGCCAATGCATCCACTTGTTTTGYTTGGTGGGCATATTTATTACTGGTGTTCAAGAGAACTTGTGTGAAGGGCTCAAGGAGCTGTTGTCCTTGGCTGCAGTCAGCAAAGGGGGAATCGATAAGGAAAGCATTGCTGCTGCCTGCTTCTGACCTGCAGGTTGCCCCCTTGGTCATAATTACCCTTTCCAGAGCTGTGGAGCTCTGGACACTGTGCTGCTGTAGTTCACTCTGGTTGTATGGAGGGGCTGTGATCTGAAAAGTCGCAGGAAAAAGTGCCGTTTGTCTCCATTCTTCCCTCTGCTGCAATGATGGAGGTCCAGAAGCATCTCAGAGGGAGGAGGATCAGAAACGGCGGGGTGGAAAGAACTCCTTGCTTGTTGGCATCGTTAATGAGARAGAATACTTAATGTAATTAGCAATGACTCCTCAGGGGCTTTACAAGAAACAAATTGGTTCTCTCCACTTGGTGCCTTTGCAGCAGTCTGCGCTTACTGCAGCATCTGCATTTAGGAGGAAGACTGAGCTTATGGGAGGCTCCTCTTCTCTGGCAGCCAAAGAGCCACATGGCCATTGATTTTCTTGTCCGCAGGCATGACACCAGACAGCGGAGGGTTGGTTTTAATCCTCTGATGTAGTAGATTGAACCTACTAAAGCACTTTCATGTTGGTGCCAAAGATCTAAGCAAGGGAGATTTGATGTGCACTTGGGCACTAGGTAGCTGGTCTTTCTAGCTGTTCATCCTGGAGGACTTTCTGATGATGAAAGGGACTGTTCATATCTCTCTTATACCTAGGAAACTTAGGCTGAGTTTCAGTTTCTGCCTTTCTGTTAGGAATTTGAACATCTAAAACTTTCAATGAATCCGGAGCCAAAGTGACTTCACCAACATCATGTACTCAAGCTGTCAAAGCTGGGCCTTGAACCTGGCCTTAAACTCCCAATCTGTGTGCTGACTTCCAGATGTGACATTAAAAGCTCTTATGTACTGAGGTTTGTTAATATCCTGAAACATCTAAGCTGTTACTTAGTCTGATGTGTGGCCCAGTTGAAAGGGTGCATTTTGGATAGATCTTGTTTTAATATGGTTCTTATAGCTAATTTTCAGTTGTATGTTAATTTGGTTAAATATATGAAGACTGTACTGACCTATTTTCCCCTGCTTCCCCACACTCATGTTATTATTAATCAAGACCAAGGTAATCCAGTACCTTAAAGAGAGAGCGACTGTAGTGGTATATTCAATGCTAAAATTCATGAATAGTTACAAAAAACCCTAGCTCTTGCAATATATCACTTTTGGGTAGCTTGAGGAATTATAGGAGTGTATTTCATCTGTCCCTTCAGAAAGAAAAAGAAGACTGAACAGCTGTTACCCATCTTTGATAAAATGATTTCTAAATCAATTAAATCTTCTTTCTTATTTTGTTTTCCAGGTCAACAATGCAGTTCTTAGCCTGGTTCAATTTGCTGCTTCTCCTTCCTTGTTTTGGTACCACCAAAACCTGCTTCCCTGGGTGCCACTGTGAGGTGGAAAGCTTTGGCCTCTTTGACAGCTTTAGCTTGACCAAAGTGGACTGCAGTGGAATTGGCTCACACATTGTTCCTGTCCCCATCCCTCTGGATACCTCCTACTTGGATCTTTCCTCGAACAAACTGGAAACTATCAATGAATCAATGCTTACTGGGCCTGGATATACCACCTTGGTGAGCCTTGACCTGAGTTACAACAACATTGCTAAGATTTCCTCCACAACCTTCTCTAGACTTCGGTACCTAGAGTCCTTGGATCTGAGTCATAACTCTTTGGAAGTCCTTCCAGAGAACTGTTTCTCCAGTTCTCCTCTGGGGGATATAGATTTGAGCAATAACAAACTTTTGGATATAACAATGGATGTTTTTGCTCCAAAAGGTCAAGGAAAACCCATGAATGTGGATCTTTCCAATAACATGTTGAGCACAATTACAAGGCACCATGCAAAGAACATCCCCAACATCCAGAATTTAAATCTTTCTGGAAACAGGATAACATCTGTGCCAAATCTTCAGGGGCTTCCTCTACGATATTTAAATCTCGACGGGAACCCATTAGTCAAGGTTGAGAAAGGGGCCTTTACAGGACTGAAAGATTTGATTCATTTATCTCTTAGCAGCTTGCATGACTTTAGAGAGTTATCTCCTTATAGCTTCAAGGAACTACCAGCCCTCCAAGTTCTGGATTTATCCAGCAATCCCAATCTGAAGTCATTGAGTGCTGAAGTTACTTTTGGTCTCAACTCCCTACAAGAGCTTAACCTCTCTGGGACAGGTGTGTCATCCTTGCCAAAGACTGTGCTGAAATACCTGCCTTCCATCAAAAGCATCACTTTGGGGAAGAACATACAATGTCTTAAAACCATCAGAGAAGGACAGTACCACCGACAAACTGGGGTGACCAAAAAAGAGGTCCTTATTTGTCATGACAGCCATGGGTCTGTAGCAGCAGCGCCTTACGTATCATGATGAAAGCTGGGAAGAAGGGTTTGGAAAAAGAAGGGCTGGGAGGGTGAGGGACCACAGGAAATGTACAGGTGTCAGACTGAAATGGTTTGCAGTGTGCCTTTTGTAAAATTGACAGTAATTTATATATTTGTACATGCCAGTACTTGATGGTTTATGGATTTTATAAACTCTCAAATCCCGGCCCATACATCATTTTCAGGCTCTGGATTCCACCCAGTGTATTGAAGGCTACATCCAGACTGCTAACTCAAGAATGATGTTGCTGGACAACAGGGACCAAGATGCTCTGCAGGTCCCAGGGCAGAACAGCTGGTCTGGCACAAACCTTCATGGACCAGTTATGTTTGCAGGAGCAAAGCTATGTCTCTCCAGAGGGCACACCAAAACATAACAGCTCAGTAGCTATTCGTTTGCAAACCCACGCTTCATCCTTTTTTTTAATTATTATTCCTCAAGAAGTGCCTTCCGGACGTTGCCTCCATTAGCATCACCCTGTTCCTTGTCATGCACTTTCAGTCTGAAGAAGTATTTCCAGACTAACCTGAATACAGGGTGCTCCTAATGCGCTGATTTTTACATGTTATTTGCATAGATGTGCAATGAACATTGAGTAAGTGAAGATTGTTTCCCCTACTTCTTTTCTCTCCATTTTCACATTTCATGGTCTTTTTTGTGTCAAATTGCTTTATATCCAACTGTGGCATCCTCCTGTGTTTTTAACCTTTATGAGCCACTGCTCAGAGAGGGTAAGTAGCAAGGGAAGAGAAATAAAGAGAGAGRAATCTGCCTACAGCTGACAGCTGACCTGGGAACTGTGAGAACAGCCATGAAACCGAGTTGCAAAGAGATCATGTCACCTAGTTTAAGGGGAAAAAAAGAAAAAAAAATTAAACTCTCCATTCTTTCGGGGAAAGCTGGAAGAATACTTGACAAGGATTCTTCTCTTGATGACCTTATCAAACCATGGCAGACCCAGATGACTTTGGAATAAGCTATTTTCATGTTGATGTTCCCATCTGAACAGAACATGTACAATTCAGCTGGGCTTATGTGAAGCAATTTCCAGTGCAGAAATGCTCTCCAGATCGTGCCAGGGGAAGAATTAACACTAACACCTGCAACTCTTGAGATACTTGCCTATCAGGGGAAGGATCTTGGGGGATCTTTTTTCTCAGAGTTGTGGTTTTTCTCTCTCTCACACAACTACTTGGCTGCCAAAAGGAATCTGATGACAAGTCTGGTCCTCAGAGTTCTCCTTACTTTTCTCCACATTGAAATGCTGGCAAAGTAAAGGATAGTCCCTCTCATTCTCCATTCTCTCCAGGTCTGGAGAAAGCAATGGAAGCAGCAGGACATAACTCAACCCAGTGGCTTTTGACCTGCAGCTCCTGCAGTGCATGTAGATGTCCAGTCCAAATCTGGCACACCATCCTGGGGATGGGAAGGGAGGTTGTAGGTGTGGATCCTGGTCGGATGWGTCTGCAGTTTGGTCTCTACACACAGGCTTGCATCAGGGTGACCTTGAATGCAATGTTCTCATCTGATTTAGGTGGCTCCATGCAAAGRTGATGTGAATGTAAACCTGTCTTCGGGGCATGGGCACAGTCACTGCAGGCGAAGTGAGCATTTGTACACATGCATTTTTTTTGCAAAGAGCTGACAGGATCAACAGACAGCAGCAGCCTTTGCTACCTATTTATTGCTGCTATTTCAGTTCTAGCATAAGAATGACATGGGCCTTCCCCTYTCCATACAGAGTCAGCAGTGTCAGCAGCAGAGGTGACCTCAGAAAAGGTGCCCCATGTCATCTCTTCTGCTGGCCCAGCAGCCTTTACGCTGCCACAACGATGTCTGGAGAGACAACATGTAGGCATGATTGGTGCTTGAGGAGAATATGGAGGTGCTAAGGTCCTACCCTGCATTGGAGGGCTCTCAAATGGGGCTGAAGGAGCTCAAGCTTCCTCCMCTCATCCTCAAAGGTCTGTTGCTGACAGAAATCCCTTTGCCCAAAGAAGACCTCGTCAACAATGGCTGAAACCTGCTAAGCCTGTGCCAGGGAGGCTGAACCTGGAGTCAATGCCTTAGCTGGGATATTGAAATCTCTCCCCATGTTTCCATCCATCTCACTTTTCTGTGGTTTGATCACCTCCCTGGGGGTGGAATTTTGAACTCTTTCTTTCTTTCARTGATGAGGGTTTCTCCCCTCCCTCTACTGAGCCTTTGAAATGCACAACCACGCTTCATGGTCGCAAGAAAAACGTTGATTTTCTTAAAAAGGCAAGGAGATTGCCTACAGAGAGAGATCCAGAGGGGAACAGTAACCAACTGCAATGCAAGATAGGGGCARCTTGGGTTGGGAGGGGGGTTGGTTTTTAGTGGCTCTTGCCTTTTTAAGAGAATTCTTTTCTGCTGGCAGAAAACACAATTTTAAGAAAAAAATGTTTAATTTTATAAGTCTGTATGTAGATAAAATCATTACGGGGATCACGTAGAGGCTGTCAAAGTCACTGCCTTTGTGCCGCTGTGGTAAATCTACAACCCAATGTGACAATCCAACCGAGGACTGCAAGATCTCCTGGTGTAATCTCATGCTAGCTGCTCGCCAAGCACGTCTTAGCAAAGGCGGGCAGAAACTGTCGCTGTATTAGTTTGTTTTCTACAGAAAATCTCTGCCGCATTGTAAGGCTTTGTGATTACTCACAATGTAATAAAGTGATTCAGAGGAGAATAGCCCCAGATCTCCTGCATTTATTTGCTTAGCAATGGGATGGAGGCAGCAGCCGCTGGGTCCAAAGTCTTGTGGTGGCTCAAACTCCTGTGCCCTGTGTTGCAGCCCCAAGTTGAAGCAGGATTTGTCCCACTGCCTTCAATTCCCTGGGCTTCTTGTTGGCAGGATGATGTGACAGCTTCGCTTAGTCTAGACGGACTGACTCAAAGGAAATTACGGACATGTGGCAGTGAGGCAGCCYAGGAATATTTGGAGCAAATTTCCTGCTCCAGAATTTGCTGCAAAGCTTGTTGGATCGGTGGGGAGGCTCTTTTGGGACTTGGCCAGTTTGGGGCTCACTCCCTTGTGCAGCATGGAAATAGAGCAGGAGACAGATAAAAGAGATGGTGGTTTGAGGAGGGTTCTGTCCTAGAGGTAAAATATCTGAAGCGCTTTCGTCTGAGCTGGATTCTCCCATTTCCTCAGTAAATGTCCTGATTACACAACTCCCTAATGCTTTTGGACCCTAGTCCCTCATTATTCCTCTGCTCCTTTTCTCTCATCCTGCTGGACCTTTATTATTTAAATAGCCTATCAATAGCCATCCACATGGGAAGAAGTATGCAAGCCCCCATCCACGTGGACATGGCAGAGTATGGTGCCCATTGGATGCCTGAAACAGTGCAAACATCCCAATGGGAAAGGGAAAGACAGTGGCTCTGGGCTTGGAAATTTTCATGAGACACTCTGTCTGGCCATATGAAAATGCTGGCAAGTGAGATGGACACTTTAATTAGAGGCTGAGTATTTTTAGAAGCAGGAAAACCTCAGCAGAGCCTGGGCAGCAAGGGTAGGTTGGGTTAGGAACAGGGGGAGAAATAGCTGTGCTGGTGTTTTGCTTTCTGCTCGCTGTCTTCTGGAGGGATCTGAGCATCTCRTGCTTCTTTCGACTGTGTTAGGAGAGGTAGGTGAGTCCCAGCTCCATCTCAGCCTGTGCAGACTCCGAAGGTCTCTTTCTCCATCTGCTTCATCCCCAGGATTTCAGGACAGCACAGGCCACCTCTTTGGTCAAAAATATGCACCTCCTATTATCCAAAACTCCCCTTTCCACACGTCCTTATGAGCTTTTTCTCTCAGCAGACAGACTCCAGAAACCCCTCACTGACTGGTAATGTGCCTGACTTTATAGCAGCAGTAGGTGCTGTCCCTTTTAAAAATAGCTGCTGCTCTGTATAATTTCCATTTTGCAGGAGGCTTTATTTCCAGCACGTTTGCTCCACACACATGAGCTTGGTTAGGCTGGAAAGCGCTGATGCTCTCTTGGCATGCCAGAAACAAATGCCACGTGGCTGGTCGTAATCCTTCCACAAGCAAAACCAATGTGTATTAATATATAATATTGAATTAATATAAAATAAAATAATATAAAAKAAATTAATATAAAATAAGTTAATATAAGATGAATTAATATAATATGAATATAAATTAATATTATAATAAATTAATATAAAAGTGTTTCAAATGCTTTGACACAACATAGAAGTAGCAATCCCCTTGCACTAGGTGCTACGCACTCTTTGGAAAACCCTGCCAGGCGCAAGGAGATGTGGTGGATTTGGGTAGCCATAGGGTGGTGCTATGGACAAGGGTGTCTGGCCTCTACACCAGGTGAATCCAGGAGGACATCAACCTTGCAAAGGGACAACTATCCCTGTGGAAATCTTCCCACCATCACTATGAAGCCCTGTAAGGGAACTCATTCCATTCGTTCCACTCCACATGCCCCTCTACTCCCTCTTTAGTAGTGAATGTATGTCGGAGCCTTCTGGTGATTGACTTGGGCCATGCTGGGAATCTGAGCTTGCATTTCAAAGAGATCGTTAACCTCCTTTTYCTTCTCTTTGAACTGCCTCACTTTATTGTAGGTTAAAGGAAGCAGATGGCTGCTTCCTCCCAGAGCCCCTTTTGATGAGATCTCGGAACCTTTGGACAGGGATTACGTGGCATTTTCACTAGCACTGATATTGGTGCCAGCTTTTGCAAAGTGGCCTTGTGGAGACGCATTTCACTCAGAGGGAATTGCAGATAAAGGAGTCCACCCCAAGGCTTTGGTAGAAACACATAATATTTCTTGTCTGCTGGTCAAGATCTCCTGCCTTGTCCACCTTGTCCAGCAGTAAGTGCAGGGGGGCTCCTGCAACATCCATTTTTTGTTCAACTTCACTTAATAAACTGAAGCTCAACAAAGCTCCAAAARTCACCTGAGCTCTGTTTACCAACCAATCCTAAGTTCTTACTTTCAGCAGTAGTGCAGGAGACCATAGAATCACAGAATCATGGAATCACAGAATGGTTGAGGTTGGAAGGGACCTCTAGAGATCATCTAGTCCAACCCCTCCTGCTCCAGCAGGGACACCCAGAGCATGGGGCACAGGGTGGCAGCCAGGCGKATTGAGAAGACCTCCAGAGAAGGAGACTCCACAACCTCCTTGGGCAGCCTGTTCCAGTGCTCTGTCACCCTCACAGTAAAGAAGTTCCTCACATGGAGATGGAACTTCCTGGGTTGCAACTTATACCCATTGCCACTTGTCCTATCATTGGCCACTACTGAGAAGAGCTCAGTTTATATTACTTTAAACCTGAGTTAAGGGTTTTTTTACCTTGTGGTTGTAATAAGCTGAGTGCAGATAGTTACACAGTAACTCACAAAATCTCATCAAGTTGTTCAAACATTTGAGTCCTCCTATTCACAGCATAGATCAGTCTGCTGCATAGCCTTTGGCATACTTCTGAAGAACCATATACCTACAGGCTTTTTTCTTTACCCATACTCAACAGCAGTCATTTCTCCTTATCTCCTCAGTTATTGCAAAACCTGAAATACTGTATGAGAAATATTTTTCAGACCTCCTAAGATGCGGTATCTGGGGGTCTAAGGTAGGGAAAGGGAGTAGCATTTCCTGTGACATATGCATGAAAAATATGCCCTAAATACATTGGACAAACAAAGTAGACATACAAAAGCTCTTTCTGGAATTGCCTCAGATTTACCCTTCTTGAAGCTAAAATCAGAGGTAAACTATTTTGTGCCAGCATCACAAAACAGAATAGAAATGTTCCAACTGAGAGGTGCGCCATAATAACCCAATGGACAAGAAGAAATCAGAATGACAATACAAGCCTAAGCAACCTGATGTGAAGGAGGTGGAAATTCCTTCATTTCACCTCCTCAAGCCATGGAAGAGAGGACCCAASTCTAGTGTCCAGTGATATCCCCACATTTCAGGGCCGCATATCACCTTCTTATCTGCTGCAAAGGAGGGGCTGGTTGCTCCATCCGAAGCAGCAGCTCCACACAGCAGAGATCAGTGATGCAGTTTCCAGGCGAGCTCTGGAGCCAGCCAAGCAGCATTAGCCTAGATTTTCATCCAAGCAAGGAAGTCCTGGCTCCTGGTAGGCTTATTAGCTTTGGCATGGAGCTTAGCTGACACCTGGCCAAGGCATTCTGGCTGCAGCTGGAGCTGCCTGGCTTGTATCCCACCGGCTTGGGTCTCTCCACATCACATTTCTCTGCCTCATGGTTTAAATGGGCARGACAAGTCTGTGTGCCCTGGACAGCAATGGGGACAGCTCCAGGGGCCATTTAGACACCAAACCGGGGCGCAATCAGCCCTGTCTGGARAGAATCCAAACTCAATGCTGTCTCTGAAGAGGGACAATCCAGGAACAAAACAAGAAGATACAATGCAGAGAGACAGCTTTGTTGAAG